GTACTGATCTTTGCAAATACGACCCCCTCCCGAAGGAGCCAATAACGACCCCTCCGTCGCGGATTCCGCGATGTATGCTTGACCCTGGTCAAGACCCGCTCACAAAGGACTTAGCGTGCTCTCGAGTATGAAGTTCTTTTTTAGACTGACTTCCAGTGGCTAGCTAACCATACTCTTAACCAACAGTCGCCAAAGGCACATTTTATACCAGTCGGCACTAGATACCGTCTGACCCCGTCGTGCCTTCTTATGTGATAAGGCCCGGCTTCGCAGGACGAGATGACTTCGCTGCGCATTTTTTCTTTTAAATGTTCGACTATTGAACTAAAACCTGGCTTTTCTCTGATCTCTGATCTGATTTTTCTTTTCTGTCCACTTGATCAACGTTATTCACAACCATTTTATATCAGTGGTGTTGTTGAAAGTAGCACATATTAGTTAGGCAGCGTTGGCCAAACAAATAAGAGAAGAGCCGGTATTCAGTTGATTATGGAAAAATGAGGAAGACGGGGGGGGGCCTCCGGGCGGCAAAGCCGGGCCGTATCCCGCACATGTCGCCGCTGTGAACAGCCCGCCTTGGCCAGACGGGTGCAGTTCCGATGCGCGTACCTTTCCCCGTATGTTTGAATGGCTCTTGTGCATTGTCACCTCTTAGGTAGTTGAGCTTGTGTCCCTCTCGTTTGTCTTTAGCTTCAGCTCCTTCCCCGCACTTTTGCTGAAGCCAAAGTAGTGGAGTGTTACAGCGCATCATTAGATCAGCCACTTCTCGAGAGTTCTCAGTCAGCGATCTCACTACCTAAGAAAAGTATCAAACTGACTTCTCCAACTGATGTCGTTCTTCTCTCGGTGGAATTCCGGTACTGAGCACAGAGCTCGAGCGAAACATCTGTGGTTTACGTCACTGAGAGAGGGGCTTGAGATGAACGTAAAGTTTTCAAGCGAGCCTCTAATGTTTTAACAGCTAGGGTACAATCACGAAACTCCTCGAAAAAGATTGCCTCATAAAGATCTTCTGGACGCGGGAGAGGCGGCAGTACTTCTTGAAGATCTCGCAGCTGTTCTTCGACTGAACGCTGTTGCGCTCGTATTCCTTGTTCTACTATGATAGTCGTTGTATCAAACAAGTGATAAAGCTAATTTGCATGAAATATATGTTCAGTGCTTCGGAGGTATGTGAGTTTACTTACTGTACGATCCTCGTGATTAAGATTCTTCTAAAATGAATTTCTACTTGTGCTGGAGAAGCACTGCTAAAGTTCAGACAGTCTTTTTTGCCGTTTCTCGCACTTTCGCTAGCCAACATTTCATATTAAGGAGTAGAAAGCGTAAGGTGCGCACTGGTAGGGTGAGAATCGCCCCGAACACGCTCAAGGTGGCATTGAGCAGGCGCAGTCCCATAGTATTGACTAAGATGTAGGTTGTACCCAGAAACACTATTACAGTGATGTTATGAGCGGGATCTTGTACCAGCCAAATATAACGTCCTTGATGTGTCTGAAATCGGGCCATTGAAAGTCATTGTAAATAGTAGTGTTGCCTTCCAGCAAAGAATATGTAGGATAATTGAAATAACTAACGTATTTCAAAACTCCACTCACCCTAAAGGTGTTCTTTACCTGGCCACATGTTATTGTGCATTCAAAAAGGTGGCGTGCTGAGTCCAAGTGGAAGTGTAGAGTTGTTTCAGGTCCTTCGGGGGCGCACGATACCACAAACGAATGATGCGCACAAAGAATTTCTCCAAAGGTGTCTTCTTCAGCAATGCAGCGCACAATTGCCACTGCGCCTTTTGGACAGTTATAGCACCCTTTTAATGGGGCATCCGCCACGATACAAGTTATGATTGTTGATTTCTAATTGCGCGACATCCATATTAATGTGGAACTTGATCAATTCCTGAAGAAACCATTTGGGATATTTTTGCAGTTAGGGGAATTTTTTTGCTTGGATAACTCCCAGAATGCTGTTTTGACAGGTAATTTTTTTGAATCTAATCGAATTCTTTCGCGGTGTCAGGATATATTGCAACTCCAAGTTGCAATTGGTCGGTCATGGGGGTCGATCTACCGCACATCAATGCAGACCCCACGCAAGCCCTCGGAATTGATTGACCCCTGGGTGGCCTTCTTGGACTTTGGACTTTGATCCCAGGGGTATAAAAGGACAGCGGTTCTCAAGAAAAGGCAGTTCTTTCTATTCGGCAATCCTCTATTCCAGTCTTCAGTTTCCGAGTTCACATTTCGTCTCACGCTCTCTCACCCCGGCCTCTACACACATTCGGGTTCAATACGCATGAGCACTCGCATAAGTTTGATTCGGTAACCCTACGTTGTTGTATTACTTTCCTGTTGCAGTATAACGCTATTCATCTTATATAAAATTGTTGCTCGGTTGCCTCTATTGGGAAACAGTTACACAATTATACCGCGTGGCACGACTACACTAAACGCATATGCTGCTATAGTGGATAGTCTCTTTAGGATACTCGCATTTGTATCCTACCTTGAATTCAGTGGGAGTGCAGACGCAATTTTCTTTGAAGGTGCATATCAGCGCTTCCGCGTCACTTGAGAGTCGGGGCTAGAGTCTGGGTCAGAATGGCGGTATTGACTCCGTCAGTGACAAACTTTAGTTTTGGTATAGAGGGAAGTGTTAGCAATGTCATAGTCATGCGCAAGAAGGGAAGATTAAGGGGCGTTGGAATAGGCTTCAAGAAGATAATGCGACGAGTTCTTTGTAGGAACCTCGTCGAATATTACTTCTAGTTGTGCCGCTTCTGTCCAGCGCATGCAGCGGAACACTTCAAAGACCTTTGGGTTGCGTGGTCTGGCTAATATCCTTCAGAAGAGGCAACCTGATTTTAGGTAAAAGCAGTCACACCTGACGGTATAAGTGATGAGGTGTTTAGACCTGCGCACTTCTGTTCTGTGCATGATCCCATAGTAGGGCATCTTTTGCTGTCAACGACTTCCAGGGTGGTAGAACGTGTGAAGTGCAAAGTTTCTTGTTTGCATCTAAGATGTAACTTTTTCCAATGGACTGGGTCCGCTACTAGGGTCGAATTCAAAATCAGGCGCAAACATGCTTCATGCTTGAAACTGTTCAGTTTCAGTTCTTCTGAGAGCGTAATATGCATAATAATAATAGCATGGTTGATTGAGGTTATTTCTTGCGCGCTCGGGTTCGGTATTCGAGGATATTTAGCTCCTGACACGCAAGTGCCTTTAAATAGTTCTGTGTCAAAAGTGCTGTCGAAACGGCTAGCGCAAGGGTGAGGCATGCGGTTGTTTTCAGGGCCTTCTCAATTGCGTAGCAGGCGTAAGCAGCACTGCTAACAAGGAAAGGATGGTTGGTCGAAGTGGCCATTCGAAATGAGATGTATACTGCCCGTGGGCCCTTGAACGCTGATTACAAATCTGCCCTCCATTTCTGCTGAACGATTCCCTGGACAAAGTTATGCAGGAATTTTGACCAGGTCACACCCATTTCCAGCATGTATGTGAGGCACACCAAAACCCCCAAATTTGCTAAAATCTGGAATTAGAGGTGGTCTGGTGCTCTGGAAATCATCACTGCAGGTATTTTTCATAAAAATGTCTTGTTCACATTCTGGAGGGGCAGGGTGTGCAGGACCTGCAACTCCCTTGGCGAGCGTTTTTACGCCGAGCAAGTGTGATATTCGTGTTCTGGGGCTCAAATTAGCCCTAGAGGCAAGTTTTCAACCAAATCTGAGATTTCGACCTATTTTCGATACAGTGGGGTAACCATGGGCAACAAATTCCTTTAAGGTCGCTGGCACTATCGCCGATCAAAATCTCTGTGAGCCAACTTTTCCGCTGAATCTCAGTCCTTATTGGTTACTGACGGCCCTGATCACAAACATGACATTCACTTCTGGCTTCCATGCCATTTGGAATCAGTTTGGTGGCACAACACAACGTAACGAATAATGCCGCCGAAACCAACAATCAAGGGTATCCTTCAGGCGTTCCAGAATGGCTCCATTCCTCCAGAGACAACATTTTTAGATCAGGTCTCCTAACGACGCAAAACTGCTTTCAAAATGTGCAGGGAGCATTTTTGAGAAAATGCAAAACCACAACTCCAGGAAGGACCCGAACCCTTTTGAATTTGAAACGCCTATTCAATATGCATTCCCTCCAAATGTCATAGAACCCTGTAACACAGCAGAGTGCAAGGAAATTTTTTTTATCCGGTGTTCCCATTGCGAGAAACTTTTTTGCTTCCAACACTTTGTTCTGGATTATCACATTTGTTCTTGAATCACAAAACTTGTTTGTACCTAGCACTGCTGAAACAATGCAAAAGGAGCACGTCCATCAAGGACTCGAACCTCTGACCTCGTATACTTGAGTCCGGCATACTACCCACTAGGCTACCGACCGAGGCACACCGTGTGGCGACTCACGTCTTATTTGTATACCAAGCTCTACTGTGCTCCGTACAACAACCTCCTGCATATCTCTGCTCAAAGAATCGTTCAGCAGATATGGAAAGCAGATTTGAAATCAGCGTCCGAAGACGCATCAGTGAGTATACATCTTGTTTTAAATGGCCACTTCGACCAACCATCCATTCCTTGTAAGCATGCCAGTGAATACAATAAGTTATTTCAGAAATTAAAGATAATCCGTATTGGTTTCCCGATTGTCATGAGTACATATAGTAGTACTTATAGACACGCTACTATGAAATACAATATTACACCGAGTGTAATAATTGTGCCAAGTGGCCAGCATTCCGGATTGAAAAGAACTGTGGCGCAAATTTTACAGTCTATGTTCTCGCAGAAGTCCATGGCCTTGCACACTATTTGCATTACAGCCAGCTGTCCTCCCGTATTCCACTTGGAGGGTGCTCGTATTGTATGGGTAGAATTAGATTGTATTCGGTGGGTGCGCTCTACTTGGTTGTCTTGGTGACATTGTGGGTCTGAGGCTGTTCGTTTCGTAAGTGGAGGCGCATGATTTACCCGTGCTTCTTGGATCTCAAGAGGAATTAACAAGTTTATTGGGCGACGAATTTTCCTCTTTGTTCCAGTGATAAGTTCTACTTCGCGCACTTCTCCTATCTCTACTCCGCTTCGTATTTATTAATACGTCCCATTTTCCATTCGTTTCTGGGGAGAATCGGATCTGAGACAAGAACAATGTCTCCGACTTCAGGATTTTCTTTTCCTTGTCATCGGTTGGACACATGCTTTTTATGTGTTTCTCGCGGAGAAAGCAAATACTGCTGTTGCCATATGTTCTAGAAACGATCTGCTTTTTGATTAGAGGAGCGTAAAACATCTATTACCTGTTGTCGGTTATGAAGTGATCGTACGTCTTGTGGCAAGTAATCGAGGTCATCACTAACCTTGTCGGTTGCATCGGGAATTGTCAATGTTAAGGTCATATTTCGGTTCGAAGATATATCGAGCGAACTGTGCTCACTGTTTCATGCGCAGCGCCTTGATATGTAAGTGGTCTCGAGTTAAGACTCGCTTCTACTTCCCAACAAAGGCCACCATGTCATCGAAGGAGCGCCTGTTGGTCCTTCCAGGGCTTTAATCGCAATCGCATGTTTGATAGACTTAATAAGGCGCTCATAAAACCCTCCCTGCCACGGGGCATAGGGAGTTATGTTATTCCATTGAATTTCTTTATTGGCTATTTGGTGCCTTATTTCAGTATGGATGCCCGTTGCTTGCTGACTCAATATGCTTTGGAATGAGGAAGGTTGGTGCCTTATACATGTTATGGCAGCTGGCTGTCCTCTGCGCGCAACGAATTTCGGAGCGCATGTAAGAATTCGCTAGTGCTCATGCTCCGTAGGACTTCGAGATGAATTAGACGCGTTACTGTACATGTGAAAATGCACCCATAAAGTTCAACCCTCTCTTCGTCCTCTGTGCAAGCAGGGGTTTGAAAAGTCTAGCCCTATATTTTGAAATGGGCGACACCTGACTACCCGTTTTTGGAGGCCTGTTGTCTCTGGGTAATCGTACGGTAGCGCATTAGATCTGCGGCATTTAAAGACACATAGTACGCTCACACACATTGAGGGTGTATGAGACTATCAGCCCCCCAGCTGTCGATGTGTCGTGGTCCCCCCGCCCAAACATGCCCAGGAATGGAGATACAGGACCGTGAAACACGCTAATTCCTCCATGCTCCGCCTTACACCTTTTTGCGGCGCAGATTCCCGTCCTTCATAACATCCGTTGCAAGCGCGCGTGTCGCGTGCGGCTCCTTGGCACTTTGCCAAGTCCTTTAATTGCGAAGAAGAGAAGAAAATGCCTGAAGTATGGCAAGAGAGCACGACGGTACCGATCTGGAAGAAAAAAGGCAGTCCTGCAGACTGCTCAAATTATCGTCCAATTCGCTTGCTCTCGCACAGCATGAAAATTTTGAGCGAATTGTTGATAAGCGTCTTCGTGATATCGTCCAGCTCTCTACCAACCAGTGTGGCTTCGTGACTGGCTGTAGCACCATCGACGCCATACATGCCGCTCGCCTCTTGCTGGAGAAACATCGTGAGAAGAAGAAGCATGTCCACCTAGCCTTCCTTGATCTGGAGAAGGCATTCGACCGTGTCCCACGTGAAGTTATATGGTATGCCTTACGGCAGCACGGCGTTCCCGAAGAGCTGATTGAGTGGGTACGCATCCTGTACTTCAGCCCAACGAGTCGAGTGCGAAGTCCAGCAGGCATTTCGATGGGGTTCCCCATCACAGTTGGGGTGCACCAAGGCTCAGCGCTTTCCCCGCTGCTCTTCGTTGTCGTCATGAACGCCATTTCACGGGACCTCCAGAAGCCGGCTCCTTGGACGCTTCTCTACGCTGACGATGTGATGCTCGCCTGCCTGCGAGGATAAGAATGGTCTCGAGGAACAAGTGCAAGCTTGGACTGAAGCGGTTAGCGAACTTCGGACTGTGGCAGTTGCGCGAACGACAATGTTCAAATACCTCGGATCAACAATTACGTCTGACGGTAGTCTGAACTCAGAAGTGAGCGCGCGTGTGAGTGCAGCCTGGTCTAAGTGGCGGTCTATGACTGGCGTTCTCTGCGACAAGACGATACCAGATCGCCTCAAATCGAAGATCTATAGGACCGTCGTTCGACCAGTCGCGATATACGGTGCTGAATGCTGGCCTACGACTAGGGAAGTTATATGGTGCTGGATGCTGGCCTACGAAGCCCATCCAATGGTGATGAAAATATTGCGATGGACCGCCGGTGCGTATGGATTGCGTACGCATTGGCAACATAAGGAAGAGATTTGGTGTAGCTCCTGTGGCCGAGAAAATGCGCGAGAAAATGTGCTCGCCTTCGATGGCACGGTCATGTAGTACGCGCGAATTAGGACACCGTCCCTAGGACTGGTCCTGAGCTCGAGGTGCCCGAAAAGCGGCCTAAAGGACGCCTCAAGCAGCCACGTTGCATGCGGACTCAAAGATAGTTGGCACCCATCCCGATCAAGCATTCAATCGGGAGAAGTGGCGTGACAAAATAAGACGAGCGGACCCCGCTACAGAGCGGGACAAACGCTGAAGAAGAAGAAGAAGAAGAAGAAGAGGAAGAAGAAGAAGACAAGCTGAAGGAATTTTAATTTTAAATTTTAATTTTAAAGGGTTCCCAATTGAAATGTCAGTGACTACCCATTTCA